GTAAAGATCAAAGGACTGTACGCACGCGCTATGTTCGGGAGCGGAGATGTGCGTCCATCTGTCGAATTACCTTGGGAACCGACGACGCAAACTTGGCAACGTAACGCAACATCGACGCTACTCAACTTTTGCGTTGTTTGCGGATCGCCTTTGCGTTGTTTGCGAAAAGTTGAATCGATTCAACTTTTCGCAACTCAAGCGCCGCAACGCCAGGAAAAAGCTAATTTGCGCATGCTCTAACTGATGGATTTGTAGTTAGTGCTTCGTGTCTACATTCCGGCGATGAGTTATCTGTCATCTTAGAACGTCGCCATTGCTATAGCCATCACCACTTAAATAATGATAATTATTATTGGCTGCTGTTATCAATGATGTTGCTGCTATTATTATTATTACTATTATTGTTTTCATAGCCTATCATATCACAGCCTAGCCTGGTCTCGATAGAGCCGCTGTGACGGTGCTTTTCTACTGCATGGCATATGCCTATCTATATAAGACTGTAAACATTAATATCTATATGCAATCTTGCCCAACCGTTTTTCAAAAACTATTTATATATTACACGGGGGTGACGCCCAGAGGGGGACTGGAGGAGGGCCCCTTTGAGGTGATATACCTGTCTCTTATACACATCTAGATGTGTATAAGAGACAGTATATATACTGTATTTAAATAATGTGTTTTTTTTTTTAAAGTAATACCCACCTGAGACTGTTTTAAATTCCTGATCAGTCAATCCTGACTTAAAAATCACATCCATCTCGGACAATTCACTGAAGTTGTCATCAAAACCTCCTTCTTTGTAGTTTGTTTCTTCTATGATGTTCGTCTGCCATTCAGGCATTCTCTTAAAACTTGTCTTTTTCTTGATCAAGGCTAAATATCAAACAAATAAAAAACTTACACTCAACTCTTCATATCAAATATTTTTCGAGATACTGCTAATGCGTATGCTAAGAAAAAAAAAATAATGATATTTAATTTTCAGACTATCTTGAACTTCATTGGCCCAAACCGTCTATGATACTTTGTTTGTGACAAAGACTTCATGGTCTGCCTCTTGTTAAATCGTAAACCAACGGATACTACATATTCATTGACATAATCAATAAGTTCTAAAGACCAGTGAATGACTTTTCAACAGCAAATTGCCTGCACAAGAAATACAGTTACCGTTGGCAAAAAAAAATGACAATCGCCTTCGTTAAGGACGGTATTGATATTAGATAATGATTGTTTTCAGATTGCTCATCACATAACGTGAAATTTGTTATCCTGTAACACAAACGGAGAATTCAATAAAGTAAACAATTTAAATTTATATTTATTTAGTATTTGATTGGCAGCAAAATAACTGAATTACATCAAATTTACAATTTAACTACAATTTTAAAATTCTTACATAAAAAAGACCAAACAGTAAAGTTAATACAATAATTCTCAAAACATACTGAAAACACTTTTGATTAAAGTTATCAGGTACGAAGAAATTACATGTAATAATATTGAAATATTATAACGAAGTTACGAATGAAGACAAGAAAAAGGAGGAACATTAAAATTATGGAAAATGAATTTTTAAAAAATGCGAGGGCACAACAATACAGCAAGAACGCACAAAAAACACATTAACTTTAATCATATAACCTATAAAAAAAAAAAAAAACGCCGCAACTTTAATTAACTTATGACTGGTTTGTATTTCCAAACCTCAAAAATTAACGTATTCTTGAGGATGAGGAACTAACAAATAAAAGCCTAAAGGTACACAAATTGGTTTACGACTGGCGTAACAATAGCCGCGAAGTTGTTATACATTGTGGTCACAGGATTAAAGTTGTCTGTCCCTTTTAACACAAAAAAAGGTTTACACAATTAAACTTTAAATTGGCCATTTTGTTGCTTAATTATGCATAGGCCTATGTATGAGGTATCAGAGGTTGGGCCACAGAAGGAGTATCGGATTGTCGATGCCACAGTAAAGATCAAAGGACTGTACGCACGCGCTATGTTCGGGAGCGGAGATGTGCGTCCATCTGTCGAATTACCTTGGGAACCGACGACGCAAACTTGGCAACGTAACGCAACATCGACGCTACTCAACTTTTGCGTTGTTTGCGGATCGCCTTTGCGTTGTTTGCGAAAAGTTGAATCGATTCAACTTTTCGCAACTCAAGCGCCGCAACGCCAGGAAAAAGCTAATTTGCGCATGCTCTAACTGATGGATTTGTAGTTAGTGCTTCGTGTCTACATTCCGGCGATGAGTTATCTGTCATCTTAGAACGTCGCCATTGCTATAGCCATCACCACTTAAATAATGATAATTATTATTGGCTGCTGTTATCAATGATGTTGCTGCTATTATTATTATTACTATTATTGTTTTCATAGCCTATCATATCACAGCCTAGCCTGGTCTCGATAGAGCCGCTGTGACGGTGCTTTTCTACTGCATGGCATATGCCTATCTATATAAGACTGTAAACATTAATATCTATATGCAATCTTGCCCAACCGTTTTTCAAAAACTATTTATATATTACACGGGGGTGACGCCCAGAGGGGGACTGGAGGAGGGCCCCTTTGAGGTGATATACCCCCCTTCCGTTGGGAGGAAAAACCACAAGTCGTCGGGGAGAAAAAACAATGTATATAGGCCTATTAGTAGATTCTAAAATCGATTAAATAAGCATTTGAATCCCCTTAATTGTCATTTCGCCCCTGGAACACTTTCTTTTCGTCGAGGATCGACCACACGCCAGAGACATTGGACCCCCTTCCCACCGCCCCCGTCGTGCAAATCCTGACGCCACCCCTGATACCTTATTACATTGATTTAAATATTTTTCTGAGTCGACTAGCACTAATTTTAGCTTTTTATTTTGGTTGTTTAATCATGTTATGGAAAAACATTATGCCTACTTGTCATACTGTTATACAGATCTGCATAAACAAAATTTAAATCATATAGATTTACAAACATGAAAATGTCATACAATTTGAAAATATTGAATTTGATATGCCAAATTAATAAACTAAAACATTACCTAGTAAAATGAGGCCTGGCGAAGTATTTACATAATGTTTACATTAATAATTAAATACGTGTTAACTGTATAATTTATTAATCGGACCTAGGCCTAATTTATATATAATTGTTGATTTATAATGATTATTTCATTTTTTCCTCAGGGGAGGCCTATAATTACAGTTAAGCTAAAAAGAAAAAATCAATTAAATTTAAAGCACTATTTGTAGAGGGCTAACCCAGCCAGCCTGCGAAAGTAATATCCCGAACACAACCCAGCCCCTACCCTACAATACATTGGTTGCCCTACGACAAATGATAATTTCATAACGGTTTTGAAAGCTTTCCGTGAAAATAATTGCGTTTGCGAGGCGGCAAGTGGGAACCGTATCCATTTTGTTACGTTGCGTCACGTAAGAAGTGCAAGTTCAACTTTCCGTAAAGAGGGGGGATACGAAATTGCTGGAAGAGCATTTCCTTACGTTGCATTGCGTAGGTTGCGTTGCAGCAGGTTTTCTGCAAGTGGGAACCAAGCTTAAAGCCTGGTTTCCTGTCGACGTAAAGTTCAGAATTTCTTACGATTCATACGATTCTTACGACTGTTATGAGAAGTTGGACAAAAACAGCCGCGTCTTGATCGTGCTGGTCCGCAGACAAAACAAGCCGGTTACGATCCTTACGATAAGTTGAATTTTTCAAGCTCGAACGGCAAAGCCTCTTCTAACGTCGTCACATTTACGTCAAGTTGAATTTTTCTTTGCGACTGCGATAATGTTAACATTTCTCACTTCCTGTCTGGTTTCCTCATTAAAATTACCCTAAGCACAAATTACCTGGCGAGATTCGAGGACAATTTTCACCGTTGGATTAAAACAAATCTCGATTTGCTAACTTTCTCGTTATCAATTTTAGTGTTTCGTTCTCAAAATATCAATTTGGCCTATATTGTACTTTGTTTATTTCATTTCACCTTATTATATTATGTTTTGAACTGACAGAATCTTATCTCCAGATATACAGTTATACAGAAAACATGATTTAAATGTTAAAATTCGGGTTGTATAATATAAACATGAATTAAAATTAAGAATGAATACATTTGAAAACATTGTTTATTGAAATTAACAGAAAATATTCCAACTGGCAATAGGCCTATATATTTTGTATTTTATTTATTTAATTAGGCCCTATATTATAATGTTTTATATATTATTTTTATATTATACGTTTCGGGTCCATCATGGAACCATTCTCAAGATCAAGTAAATTGAAAAAACTAAAAACAAAAATACCAAGCAGTGACAGGAAGTAAGTAATTAATTTACATGTCAATAGGGCCTACTGTGTGAAGCTACAATGGAGCTAAGCAATAATTAGCCCTTCTTAGCATATTAACTAGATAAACAGTTTGGCTTTGACTGAATAAGTTTGTTTATTCATAGAGAAAATAGAACAGTTCTGTTCTATTTTCTCTATGGTTTATTAAGTGTAGGTTTCAGTTCTTTGATCCAAAGCATTTCTTTAATTAAGCAATCAAACTTGGATTTGCACTTAGATAAAACCTTGAAATAATTAACAGTTTCAGTAGCACTAATATAATGATCTTTTAAATGTTGTCCTATGTTACCTTTACTGTGCATAATCATTTCTTATTTAAAATAGAATTATTTAATCAATCAGTAACTTGTGTTTTTTTTATTGAAATTAATAATTTTTTTTAAAAAAGATGCTACCCAAGGCGAGACTTTTTTTTTTATACCTTGTTTGACGAACTCGCTGACTATTGTACATTTTACTGTACTGTTTTTCTGTTTTAAAATGTTTGTGCTCGTTAGCAATTTAGATTTATTGTTGATGTTATCCATGACAGTAATACGTACCGCGAAATGCTAGGCCTCTGAAAGTCCCCATAGTTGGTAGTCGCCACGTTATTGGAAATTTTTATTTCAAATTTCGCAAAAATGGTTTATAACATTCCCTGCAAGTTCGTTGTTCAAAACTGGTGCCGAATCAATGTTTTAGAGCCTCCCATCGGAGCCATTAATAATAATAATAATATTACTAATTGGTCGCAAATAGTAATAATATCTAATAATATTAATAATTTTAAAAAATACTTAGACCTACTCCCAGAGCTACTCATAGGAGCTAAAAACTAATTTATTTTAGTTCTCAAATATGCATATTCTTTATGTTGATTTATTATTTAAATTTTTGCTACAGGATATTTTACAACATTTATTTATTTATTTATTATTAATTTTTTTTCTTGAATTTTATAATTGAGGGCCATTTTTTTAATTTCTTGATTCAATTCTTGCTTATACAGTATTTAGATATTTGAAGATTAAAAAAAATATATATCATTTCTATTACCGAATTTTTCATTGGGGTCATTTTTACCTACCTGTAATATGGGGCCATTTTTACCGGGGCCATTTTTTCCGGGGCCATTTTTCCTGAGGCCATTTTTTCCGGGGCCATTCTTACCTACATTCCCCCTACCCAACCCACAAAAAAAAATCTCTGGTCCATTATGCAGTCAATCACAATACTCCAGTTATAATTTACGGATGTAGGCCTATAGGCAGTGGCGGCGCCATCGGGGGGAGGGGAGGGGGTGAGACAGAGGGATTAATCCCCCATCGGTCTGGTAATTCCCCCATCGGTCTTGTCAAGCCCCTCCTCCCCACCCATCGGCCAAAGCTCGTCGGGCAGTCGGACCAAAAAAAAAAAAAATAAATAAATAAATAAAAAATAGGCCTAGTTTTTCCATCCCAGCCAATCAAGAAGTCAAGCAATCTAGATGTCCCAATTTTTTAAAATAAAAAAAACATTTTGGGAGTAGAGGACTCCCCTACCATACCCAACCCCTCCCATACCCAAATTTTAATTACAATAAATTCGAATATAATTTTAGCGCTTTTTAGTACAGTTATGTAGTGTTAAATATTGAAAAACAATGTTAAGTTAAGTGTACAATACAAAGTTATCAATTTCAGAATTATTTATAATAAAGGTCTCTGTGTTTTATTACGGTATTGATGTTATTGTTGAATCAAATATACTTTTATATCTGAATTGTAAAATTATACAAATACAGTTAGTCTTACCCACACGTACACCTGCACTGCCATTGCATATGCGTCTGCGCCTACAAGTTTTTCCTTTTATACGTTTATTTTTACTAAAACTATATTATATTTTCACTAATTTGTGTACTGTATTTTGATATGATACCAGGGACGATACGAAGTTAATGGTGGCATGTGTACAGGGGCGGATTTAGGGGGGCTCCTGCGAATATCTGGGCCCTTTGTTAAATATTAGAATGGAGATTAGATGTAAGGGGCGTACGCCCCTCCCCCTATTTTTTTGCAAAAAACTTTCACCCACACTGTTTAACGGGCCGGCGGAAAAAATATATAATGTCTGGAGATTTTTGTATGATTGGAAAGAAATGCAAGAAATGAAAGAGGGAATGAGGCGAAGGATGGAAAAGAGAATGTTTATCCAGTCCCCAACCGAGTTAAATTTTCTCGCGATTCACATTAGCGGATCTGGGGAAGGGTAATGAGTTCTGACCCCTCCCTGGGCCAACAAAAAAAAATTAAAAAAAAATTCTAGACCTAAATTTTCAGGACCCGTGAGCTGATTTTTTTTATTTTTTTTATGTTACATACAATAAGAAAATTAGAATTTTGAAGAACGTCATTAAAACACACTTCCAGTATCGGGAAAGCTTATTTCCTGCCATCTAGGAATCAAAATTTTCCCACGGGATAATCCCCGGACCACCCTTTCTTTTTGGGATTTATCGATTCATGGAAAAAGGTATAGGCGTGCAACTACTCATTTATTTACGTATGTATACACACATAAAATAAGACATGAGAAAAATTTTACCTAACCGTTTTCAAGAGGGAAAAACCTTAAATTTTGAAGAACTTAAAAAGTCATTTAAAAGACATTTCAGAAGTCAGGAAAGCTCATTTCCCGCATTCTAGAAATCGAAATATTTCCGGGGTAACCCGGACACACTTTTTCTTCGGAATTCATTGATTCATTAAATCATTTTCAAGAGGGGAAAAATTGAATTTTGAAGAAATAAAAAATGTAATTAAAAGACACCTCAGAAGTCGGGAAAGCTTAATTCCCGCCTTCTAAGTATCAAAATTTTCCCGGGGGAGAAACCCCGGACCCCCCCCCTTTCTTTTTTGGAATTTATTGATTCATGGAAAAAAAATCGTTTGCAACTATTCAATTTGTTTATGTATGTAAACACATCTAAAATAAGACATGAGAAAAATTTACCTGACCGTTTTCAAGAGGGGAAAACCTTGAATTTTCACAGCTGTGAGCAGATGAATTATTATTTTAATGACACATTTTATAGTTGCATATTGCGGCTACCCTGAATATTAAAATTTCTTTTAAAAGACATGCATTTTTTTTTTCCTGAAGACTACCATGCTAGGTAGTCAAAATTGACTCATATTCCTCAAATGTGCTGGGCTTAATATAAAAATACTATATAATTATTTCCTTCACTTGATTTCATTTACTCTATACTATATTAATAATAGAAACGTGTCTCAAACCAAGTCGACTTAGTAACCTTCGTTGTTTTTTTCCGAAAATAAAGAAAGCTAACAAGTGATACCGTAGTGCTGTATAATAATAAATTTTACTACCACATATAGTTAATATAGTTTCGTGTTTAACAAACGGTATCTGCTTAGCTACCATGTTGTAAATACGCGGTCGCATATTCGGTGATCCATACACTGCGACCGAAATGCGTAACGAAAAGAAAATATCATAAAATAAACCAACAATTACAGAACATGTACGTGCTGTTCCTTATTATCAGCTTTATTGAAAATAAATACAATATTTAAATATTTAGCATAACATTGGTTAACGTGTTGACCAAAATGAGTTGTGTACGAGTTAGCCAAACATGGGTACGGGTCGATCAAAATGTGCGTACGGGTTTGCCAACACCCCTTCCGAATAGGACAATAAACCGTAAGCCGAGTGTACACAACAATGGCCCGTGTGCACTATAAAGAACCCAGCAGTACTAGTACATCTTTCGAGACGAGTAGGGGGTTACTAAGGTTTACTGCTTCATACAGCCCATGTTGTGGACAGACGAGAGATGGCTGGTACCGGTGGTAGCTCTTAGGGGAGAAGAAAGTTACATGCGAGCTAGTTCACACCTCGAGCGCTTTGAGACTTCGGTGTAAAGCGATATATAAATCCAAACACATTACATTAAATTTGCAAATCGTCTAACAACAGAAATGGATGACTGATTCCGGAGAAGGGGAACCTGAACAGGAAAAGAACGTTCAGACTAACTGCTTACTGCTCGACTGAAATTTGTAAAAATATATTTAACATGAATTGACATAAATTGTCATCTGCTGAAAGGTTTGATTGACGTGTTTTTCAATAGTATACATATATAAAAACAAAATAATCTGAGATTACAAACCCTCGCCCTGTTGCGCAATATTTTTGTATATAGTCGATGTGCTTGATGGTCGTATTATAGTGGTGTAATATGCCTATTACCATCTAGTGAAAAGTTAATCAAAAGTATGGGGTTCAAATCTCCGACATACTTATTTTTTGTTTCTGTTATTCTTTTATTTTAACTTATTTTGTTATTTTTATTATCTGTGCATCCATAGAATACTTTTTTTCATATTCATTATTTTTCACATTTTTTAAAAATTGGGACACAGCAGATTTTGCGATATACGGCCGGAAAGTATTAAAAACATTCTAAAATCTGCATCTTCTCCTATCCATCCGCTCGAGTCAGCCTTACTTAATCAAATGATTCGGTCGAACGATCAGCTCGGGTTGGCTCTGTCATTTGCGACCGAAAACTATATAACTAACGTTCTAAAATCTACATTTTTTAATGAGCACACTGTTCGAGGAGGACCGAGATGCACGTAATATTGTCAATGTGTAAATGTTTGGGGTTAATCAGTCCAGTGGTTTTTGAGTTACGGTATGCTCCCTGAAGGACAAACACAGACAGCCCGACGAACCGACATACACCCACACACACAGACCGACCGACACACAGACACACCCACACACGACAGATAGACAGACAGACGGAGCTCATTGCAATACCCTCTTCCCCTTCTGGGGTTGGGGGGGGGGCGGATGGTACTGTAATAGGTAACAGGCATAGTAACGCAAGGCTTACCAGCTGCTAGCTTTATTTGGTGCTGTAGAATAAAAGTATTTTAATATATTAAAATATATATAAAAATATTAACTTACTAGATCCTTGTGGCTTATTTCTTCCACTCCAGATATCCATGTTGTTTTTCTAATGTTATTCTTCTTGTCTTTGTTTAGGTAATGAGGCTTTAAACATGGCTGAAAATTCTAGGCACATTCTGTTGATAAACAAGTATAAATATTTCTATAATGGTAGCTATATTCATGGCGTGTTACTGTATCTTTTAGATGCTATGAACATTCAGAATAACTTACAAAAGTCCGAAGACTTATTTCCAGCATAATGCAATTTTTCCTGTATTTGAACCTTTTTAGCTTTCTTACATAAGCATTCATCATCTAAAGTATCTAAAATGCTACCACACCTTTAGACACAAACAATGGTGCCCCGCACTAAACTTGGGTTAAATGATTTTGTTTTAATATGCATTGTCTTTCATTATCATTATCATTTAATTTCCATTCAGAGTATCTGAAGTGTATTTTTTGTTTATATAAATTTTGATGATCGTCAGTAAAGATTCGAAAACTCCCTTCAATAGTTTATATTTGGAATATATGATATATATATATGGAATTTTCAGGAACTGAAATCTGTAAATAAAAACTTTCCTTGATGAGAAATGGATTGCAGACAACTTAACCAAATGGACCACCGGAGCTTCCTTGGAAATTCAAGTCCGTGTATATCTGTCTCTTATACACATCTAGATGTGTATAAGAGACAGGTTTAACGGGCCGGTGGAACCGGGGGGCCCCTCCCCCACTTTTGGCAAAAAATATATAATGTCTGGAGATTTTTGTATGATTGGAAAGAAATGCAAGAAATGAAAGAGGGAAGGAGGCGAAGGATGGGAAAGAGAATATTTATCCAGCCCCCAACCGAGTTAAATTTTCTCGCGATTCACATTGGCGGATCTGGGGGAGGGGGTAATGGGTCCTGACCCCTCCCTTGGCCAAAAAAAAAAAAAAAAAAAAACC